TTTTTATGATATCGTCAAACATATATTTTATTCAAAAATAAAAACATCATCGCTTTCTCAAAATTACATAAAGTCATATTATAACATCGACTGAGATAAAAGAATAAAATGAAATATTAAAAACACGATGTATCTCGCTGCATTGCGCGAGTACGCTTCTAGTATATATATATATATATATATATATATATACACACACACATATATAGTTGATTATTAATCTTTATCCTTAAACCAATTTTAATTGAAGATCAATTAAAAACGTCTTTTTAAATTAATGGATAAATTGCATGAAAAAGTAACGTATTTTAACTTGATTCCTATTTTGGGTAACGTATTTTCAAAATTTTCATTTTGGTACCTAAATGTAAAGTTTCAAACATTTAAGTATCCGGGTAACCAATCTAAGGGGCCGTTTATTAAACACTTACCCGGTAAGCGCTTACCGGTGAATTTAACATTATCATTTACTTACCGGATAAGATTTTAGTCGACCAAAACGGTATCGGCAATAATTCACCCGGTAAGCGTTTACTGTAGTAAGAGTCTTCGCCTTCACTTACCGGGTAAGACTCTTGGTCATTGTCTCGCTCTTACCAGGTAAGATTCTTGATCCTTACTATATTCATCCGGTAAGATAAAATGACTTGGTGTTCACTTACCCGAGTAAGCGTTTCGTAAACGGCCCCTAATTTCTATTGTTCTTCAAAGTTCGACTATTTCGATTTCAAGGTATGGAGTTCTCTTTCCAGCCGATTAACGGTCATGAAATCAGATTCAAAAAATCAAAGATGGAAATCTCGAATGACTGATTTCTACTGTTGATTAAACTTACCGAGTTGTTGTATGAGTCATATTATGATTTATGAATCTAAAAAAATCTAAAATTCTAACTGATTATTATAAAGTTGGGTCATGTGGTCGTGTGGGTTACTGACCTACAAGGCTAAGGCTAATGGACTTTTGTTATTTTCATAACGAGTCTTTCTCTTGCATATTGAAATATCTAAGAATTGAAATTTTCAATTCACATGAACACATCACTGTATCAACATAGCTGGAGCACACTGCACAAAGTTAACAACATATTATAATATTGTCTTAATTATTGGGTACTTTGCAATACACAGTAACATAGATTATGAAATTTACAAATTTTTTATTATTGTTCTTTTGACTTTTATTTACTTTGAGGTTTGACATTACCGCATTAGATTTAGGGGTCTTTTGATTGGTTCTTTTAACCAAGTTCTATATAGATAAAATTGTTTGTATGAATTAATCTGTTTGTATAAGTTGGAAAAGTTTTTGTTTGAGAAAGTTTTTTCGCAGATGTAAGGAGTGTTTTTTTAGTTGGAAGGGACATGTTTGTAAAAAAACTTGGCTTTCTATATAAACTCCTCCTAAAAGCTTACTGAATAAGTCATTTTCTATATTATTAAGCCACTACGAAACAGGCATGCATAGTTGATCGATTAAGTTATTAGTTTCATTAAGCTTATTAAGCTGCTAACAGATAGCCCCTTAGTCTTTAGTCATTAGACCTGTAACTTTTGAGTTTTACTTTTTGTTTAATATGACAGTAATTTGGAGGTAATTTACTATTTTAGTTAAAAAACTAATAGTTTTTCATGTCTTTTAAGCCCCATATATTGAAATAAAGTTCCTATTATGCTAATTTCAATTTGGAAATGGGAAAACTGGAAAAGAAAGAAACACGATTTTAATCCATGATTTATTCTTTTATCATTCTATATTCTGTATTCAGGGTTTTGGTTTTTAGTCCCCTTCCCCTCCCCTCTCCCCTTCCAATTGTATTATTTTTATTATAATTAATAAAAATCAACATAGGGATGAGACATTTAGCTTGAATATGCTTTAAACTCTTTAAAAAATTGCATGTTCTGTTGTTTTATTGGCCTAAAAAATAGGTTTTGGGCCATTTTTTATTATTTTCGCACAAGACATCAAAAATCTTAGGACCGGCCCTGAGTATCCGGTTAATACTTCATCGAATAATACTGAGTTGAATACCACATCAGCATAATAACCGGTTAATGTTTCTATCGGTTATCCGAATACTTAAATATTTAAAACTTTACATCTTAAATACCAAAATAAAAGTTTAAAAAATATGTTACTAAAAATAAGAATGTAAAGTACGTTATCATCAAATTTACCAATTTTAATAGGTACTCATCAAAAAGTGATCGTACAAATCGTTTTCATCAACTCCTATACCATCCTTGTCCATATGTAGGCATGATACTTCGTCTATATATACACACACACAATTACACATGGGCATGTTGCAACAAACAAGAGATGAAAAACTTGTGTGCGAGGTGTGCCGATGGCAGGATGCTCCTCTGGAGATAGAACATGGTGGTGGACCAGAATCTTCATCGTCGACGTCACTACTCTCATTTACAATCTGTCTGCAATTTTCAAAGTACCAACGACCCCACCATCTTCGTCTCCTAATCCCACTTCCGACCCCTCCTCTCAAACGCACTGAACCTTCTCCTACGTCAGGCTATCGACCACCAAATCATGTTCACCGCCACCACCATTTCCGCTTCTTTCTCATCAATGGAGATAACAAAGACCTTCAATCGGCGGACGCCACCGCGTTTCCGAGCATCCGCGGAGGTTTTCCCTTCGTTTCTGCCCAAAGATGTCGAGAAAATCAAGGACCCGTTTGCTCGAAAATTAGCTTCCAGAATTGAGAGATTACCGGTGGAGGTGAATTCTCGTTTCTACTTCTGTATTCAAACAGTCCTATTTTGACTATGACGTTTATCAACCTAAATTGATATGGGTGCTTCCATTTTTGAGTCTTTTTAAATCATGCTTTAGAATCCATAAATAAATACTTGTACAGGAAAAGGTCACTTCTATAAAAGTGAGGGTCCAAACGGCCATTTCTGGCACTCACTTTTTGTTGTTTGATGGAGCTTTTATTTCACCACATAATGTTGTAATGCCAATTGGTAGGTTATGGGCTGAACCCTGATGGCAAAAACCACCGGACATGTCCACCGGATTTTGTCTCAACGGGTAAGGAGGTGGGAATCTATGCAGAATTGCAGAAAACCACCGGAGATTATTGATTATGGTGGTGGATGGAAATGCACTAATTAGTAGTAAATAGTGTGAAAACAGTACATTGCACAACAGTTTTTCTGGGCATATATTTGATTCATTACAAAGGATGTAGTCATTATTTGAAGATCTTAAAAAGACAGAAATTTCATGACTAAAACAAGTGATTGAAGGAAATCTTGGATTTCGGGCAATTTACGAGATAAATCAACATAAAGATGCTAAAGGTTTGTAAATTTGGAGAACTTTGAAATTGGATCCCTAAAGATGGGTCACTTTGCCTAGTCTTGTGTCTCTTTGAGACCTCACTAGTTGCTAGCCCAACTCTCCACCGTGTTGAATTGTTATGGTCGTTTGAAGTTGACACAGTTTCTTGTTTTTTTGCATTCCCACTATTCTATATATGAATCGGTCGACTGTTGTATTTGTTTCATATCAGATTGTGTGGTCATCTCTGGCGTAGATATTTGTATGCGTATATGTTTTTAGAGCACCTCCAATGAAGCTTTTTGTACAGATTTTTGGCCACCTAGAAAAAAACTCTCTTTTTGCTTGTGCAATTCCAAGCTTTCAATAAGCTTGTTTTTGCTTGCAGCACCCACTTTTTTTGTAAAAGATAGAAAAGCTCTGATGAAAAGTTCACCATTATGGATGCTCTTAGGAGTGATAGAGGTTTAAGGTCGACCAAGATCGAATGAAAATAGTAAAGAGAGATGGTAGAAATTCGAACCAAAGACATCATCTATATGCCTACCGCTGGGACAATTATGTTGGATGTTATTATGTCATCCTGTAACAAACGGTATAAAAGAGGATAATGATTACGGAATTCTATTTGGGTTTTTGAGTAGGTATGTCAAGGACATCGAGAATTTAGGTGGGGAATTTGTTTTATTACGTCCCACAGGGTTGTTGGTGTGGATTGTGAGTGCAATGTCTTGGGTAACCAAACCAGTATATCTCACTAGGAGGTAGGTTTTGGGGGTGGGGGTGGGGGTGGGGGTTGATAGGATGCATACATACCTGACCTCTACCCAAAAGAGTAGAGCAGTTGTTTCCTTGAAGATCCCTGACTTGTGCAAAGTCTTCGGTAGTGACTACTTATATCTTTAAGAATGTGCCAAATGGACATCAGTGTGCTCCATACCTAGTTGCAGTTTCTTCTCTTTTCAAACAGGTAACTAAGACTTACCATTTTATATTTGATATTGATTACATTCAGAATCTGATAGAAAGATACCAAATTGTCGTTAATACTTGCAGCTTACCAGCTCAAACAATTGTATTATGAGTAGTTGCGTGAAGCCAATGATCGAGGCTTCGACCAATCCACTTGTTCTGCTTCACGGGTTTGACAGGTACACATCTATCGACTTCTAATACGGTCAATTCAACTGATCAGGAATGTAAAAGTCAGCATAACATCGTTATACCCCAACCGGAACATAAAACCCATACAGTCATTAACGAGGGCCTCTCTCACTCTACTTCACCTCCCCTGTAGGGAAGGGGCAAGCTAATTGAAATTAACTTCCCCCTAGATGCTGTCGGAGTAAAGGATCGTCAACAAGGGCGTTCTAGATTCTTATCCAAGACTTGTATCATTTGATGATGCCATGTGAATCGCTAGAAACATGTGAAGTGATCTAGAATTTTTGGTAGATGAGGGTTTTTCTTTATAACCGATGGAATCGTCCATTACGATACATAAGAAAGGTAAGGACAAAAGGCCTTATAAGAACAGAAGCGAGACTAGCCTCATTACTCCCCACTGGGCGAGAGGTGCACCTAACCCACCTACCCACTCATCAATCACGGTGTTCAGCTGACTTGCACTGATAGACCCCTATTGTATTGGAATTAGGGCCGGGGGGTTCTAGGGCCTTCCTACTTTTTAGAGATAAACCACGCGGAATTTTTTCGAGATTTTTAAAATGTTTCAAAGCGGCAAAAAGTCTCGATTTCCGAGCGATTCAAGGAGAGAGCGATGACAGTGACTTTCTCCTAGCWAAGAAAGGTAATCGATCCCCTTTCCCAACGGGGCGGGAGAGTCTCAGTCCGTGTTCAACGCCTGCTTGACTAGCTCAAAAGGAGGCAGCTGGAGTGTGTAGATGGGCTTTGAAGCAGGGCGCAGTGAAGGCTCGCGAAGTAGACAGCAAGCAAGAGCTTCTCAGCCCCCTATTCTATTAGTCAAGCGCTAGCGCGCCCCTCTCTCTAAAGGGGCGTAAGCACTTTACTCRCTAGGGGGATGGGATTCATTCACTTTCCTGCTAGCACTACAAAAAGCTCCTGTCTTAACGCCCCTACTACTGCTGTGCAGCCTTTCCTCGGGTTCGTAGAGTCGGGTTTCCCATTTACCCACAACGGTTCGAGCCCCGTCAGTCCCGACAGATCCGATAAGTACATCAATTCGCCTCTCCATTTTCTGTGAAACAAGGGAAGGGCAAATTGCATGAAAAAGTAACGTACTTTAACTTGATTCCTATTTTGGGTAACGTACTTTCAAAACTTTCATTTTGGTACCTAAGATGTAAAGTTTTAAACATTTAAGTACCCGGGTAACCCAATGAAGACTAATTTTAGACTAAAAAAAAGACTGATTTTAGATTTAAAAAAATTCATGTCGCTGACTAGGTCAACAAATAATACCGAGTTGGATACCACATCACTCGTCACATCAGTATGATAACCGGTTAATACTTCAACCAGTTACCCGGGTACTTAAATGTTTAAAACTTTACATCTTAGGTACCAAAATAGAAGTTTTGAAAGTACGTTACCCAAAATAGGAATCAAGTTAAAGTACGTTACTTTTTCATGCAATTTGCCCATAAGGGAATTGATGGTATTTCAACCACGATAATCTTGGTTGGTACCAAACCCGATAGTGATTCTTTCGATTCGTATTAGAGTGATGGCCCCTGTTTCACTAATAGCTGGGAAGGGAAGAAAAAGAGAAGGGATTCACGGGCAGTGAAGGCAACCAAGGGAGAGGAATCATTCCATTCAATTCCGAAGGCTACCTCCTCTCTTTCCGATCTCATTCAGATAATAAGCCAGTCCGGTTTATTAGATAGTGAGTGGGAGGCYGGCCCCCGCCCATCTGGAGGTGCACACCGCCTTTATGCGTGCGCCCGGAAAGATAGGCCGACTGCTGAGCCCACTCTGGCTCAGGGGGAATCTAGAAAGTCATGTAATGTAGGAGGAAATGAAAAATGGAATATAAAAGAAAATACAAATAAATGAAAAGAAATCGGAGCTTTCATCTGAATTCCCTTATGTTCGAGACCATTATTTCTTAGAGTCGTTGAAGGAAAAAAGCTGGATAGAGAGGCCGGACAAAAAAGAAGAAATGGCAAGATAAATTGAATATCGATGGAGGTGCATTGCCGATGTGGAAAACAGGGCGGATATTCTCTAAAGCTATTCTTCTTAGCAGTTTCACAAGTGAATGGAATGATTCTTCCCCCGAGGGTGACTTCACTACCTGGATTACATTCTCTGTTTGACATATACTGGGCTCGTTTGGTTTGGTTTGGTTTATGTTGAGTCAGAAGTTGCAATTTCACGAGAAAGAGAGATCATTGTGTTACTGGAACCAATCTTGCTATTCATTTACACTGTCGATTAATTCTTCTTTGTCTTCAGCTCTTGTTTAGAATGGAGATACACACTTCCGCTTCTCGAGCAGGCTGGTTACGAGACGTGGGCAATTGATATTCTGGGATGGGGGTTCTCTAACTTAGGTTGTCCTTTCATCTTTTGCCATCCTTGTATATTAGATTAAAAGAAGGGGTGTCCAAACAGTCATATGATCCAATCCGACCCAATGGATTAAGCAATAGTAATATCCAATGTATGGAACTGATATGACCCAATCATCCATTGGATTAGATTGGATTGGTTGTTCAAAAGTTGATTCGATTGGATTAGTTGTCAAAATCCAACATCCAATGGATAATCCGATTGGATTAGTTGTCAAAATCCAACATCCAATGGATAATTGGATTGGACCGGTTCTGCGTAAATCCATTGGATTTCAACAGATGACCACCCCTTGATTAAAAGTAAACTTGCCCATTGATCTTGTTTCTTGTTATCTCTTTTCATTTTTTCAGCAAAGCTTCCACTATGTAACGTGGATTCCAAGCGTGATCACCTCTATCAGGTAAGTTCACGTAGCAAATTTCCGCTCATCTTTTACTTGTTATCATTTTTGCTTTGTGGGCCCCATTTACATGGTGCTCCCTTCGTTCAAAATAAGTATCCAAATTTCTATTTTAGTTTGTTTCAAAATAAGTCTCGACTTTCAAAAGTAAATGCATACTTTCCAATTCCACCCTTAATTAGAAAAAATTGAGAAATTCATTACTCACTTTATTATTAAAGGTAAAATTGTCATTTAGTTAAAAAGTGTGATAATTACACGTTTACAAAACTGTATATTTTTCATTGTGGATATTTATATTTGGGACAGGAGTATAAACCAAACAAAACGATCCCTGAATATCCCACCTGGAGGTGGGGCCCGGAAGGGATGAGATGTATGCAGAACTGAGCCTATTTACATAGTATGAGAATCAATAAAGATACGTAATGTGGGTTCCCGTAGAAATAACAAACCGGAACCACAAAAAGATGGGAAATTTTTCAAAATCCGAAGGCAACGGAGATGGGAGCCTTGAAGTTTTGTTCAATGACTAGTTCTTTTCGTCATGTTTTAGTTCTGGAAATCGTACATCCGGAGGCCTATGTTGCTAGTTGGGCCGAGTCTTGGAGCAGCGGTTGCAGTTGACTTTGCTGTCAAGCATCCAGAAGCAGTAAGTATGAAGTAGTTTATGCGGTTGAGATATGATATCGAGCGACACTTTTCTCGACTCCATTTTTATTCTAGCAGAACGATAATATATTAGAAGGGCTCGTTTTGATTACTTCTTCTGTTTTTACAGGTTGATAAACTGATTTTGATCGACGCAAGTGTTTATGCAGAAGGCACGGGAAACCTCTCTAAGTTACCTAAGTTTGTAGCTTATGCCGGAGTGAGTATTCCCAATACTCCATATACTTCAATGCTGAAAATTCACAAATGAATTTCCCTATTTTTGTTTCACGATCTCTATGATTACCTTCCGATGCAACTTATTTACGTAAAAAAACAGGTCTCTCTGCTAAAGAGCCTCCCGTTGCGTATTTACGCTACTTCTCTGACGTTTAAATCTCTGCCATTCACTACATGCTTGGATTGGACTCGAGTAAGTTATTTTCGTTCCTCTTTCATTTTGAACAATTTCTGCAGTTAGTGCCTCGATATCATATAGCAAAAATGCTTCTTTTTCTGGTTAGATCGGACGTTTACATTGTCTATTACCATGGTGGGACGAAGCTACGGTCGACTTTATGAACAGCGGTGGATACAACGTCACTGCCCAAATTCATCAGGTCCCTTTTACTTTCTTGTTATAAACAAAGGGCATGTCCATTTAAGAACCGTATATATTTTGTTAACCATGAGAACCAAATATTCGTAATGAATATCATAAATATTCATGATGTTCATTATGAATAAAAATATTCATGAATAAATATCCACAATGAAAAACCCGTTATATTGATGGTGGGATTTGATGGGTCTGATGATAACCCGTTATATTGATGGTGGCATGCCAGGTTCTGCAGAAAACGCTCATAATATGGGGCGAAGATGATCAAATCATCGACAGCAAACTTGCGGTGGTTAGTACCTTCATATCATAAGCCCCCTTTTTATCTGTGTGGGATTTACTGGGTTTGTTTGGTTTTTTTAATAACGCTCACGATCTAATATTGTATGTAATGTTATTATGCAGCAATTACATTCTGAGCTTCCGAGTGCCATAATTCGCCAAATACCAGAATGCGGTCATATCCCACACGTTGAGAAGCCAGATGCGGTCGCAAAGTTGATCAAGGATTTCATCACGACCAGCGCTCTTCCGTCGTTTGCAAAACAGGAAGAGAAGGAATTGGTTCGTCAACTTGAATAGTTATACTAGTCGTAATCTTCATGTGTTCCTTGAACCTTTTTCGAGCACATGCAAGAATTCCTTCATCGCAGTTTGACTAAATCGTTGTTTGTAGAGATTTGGCATTCGGTAAATTAGAAATGTGTGCTCTGTGCGTTTAATCGTTCTTCCGATCTTTAAAAGTTGTCGTAAATCATTTAAAGTTTGTGTCGCTTGTTATTTGGGGTCGGCATTTGGTATGCTAACATTAAAGAACAAAAACCATTTGGTCTATCATTCGCAGATTATTGTTTGCTGGTACCGTCTACCACCTATGGCAGAAAAGAAATAACCGTATCTTCAAGAATAAGAGAAGATCTCATGATATGATGGTCAAGACTATTACTGATAATGCCTGGTCCAGGGTTCTTAGCCTGACCATAAACCCCCCGAATGTTGTCCGGGCTCGGCTTGCCTGGAACCTTCCCTAGTGGTTGGTCTTTCTCTCCTCTCTCCCTTGTTTTCTTCCTTTCTTTCCTTTTAGGGAGCCTTGGTTTCTTTTTGGTGGATGTGGTTCTGGTAGGTTATTTTTCATACCCTTACACTTATAAAAGGAACCACAAAGCAAGCATACAATATGATCCAATGTCGTCTTTTCCAAGTAACAAAGTGGTATAAACCGAATATCGTCTACGAAGATTGTAGTAAAGGCTTAATAAGAGTTCAATGAAAGAAATGATTTCAAATGATGAAATTGAAGACTTCAGTTGGATCTGAGTTAACAATAACGAAATAACATAATATAAAAGGATAGTATGGGTGTAAGACTTGTGGTGAAATGTAAACACAAATTCCAGCAGACAATACTGTAGGAATGTTACAACATGCGGTAAGCCATAACTAGTTCCACCATCTATTTTGAAGGTATTCCTCTTGGACTTCCACCATTGCACTATATTATAGCTTTCAACCTATATCTCTATGTGGTATCCGGACCAGGGATAGTGATGAAATGGTGTCTTCAAAATATATGGATAAACAAATCTCTTTGTTAAAAATCACTCTTTTGAGTCGATTCCTTATCATTCAAGTTGGCGTGTATTCTAGGTAGTTCATCTTTGAATCTACTGCACTTTAACACTTTTAACAAGCGACCAACCTGTCGAGAATTAATTAGTTTGAAAGATATAAATGACAAGTCTTCTTGTCAGCAACTTTTCGCAAGTATACCTCTCATATCATTCAAGTTGACGTGCATTCAATGGCTTATCTCTAAGACCATGACACTTTAACACTTTCAAAGTGATCAACTCGTCAAGAAGTGTCATTGGTTTTTATAAAAACTTGAATGAAATAGTGGAACGTTGTTATTGTGAAACAACGTCCACTTTTCTTCGGTTTAACATTTCACCATTTGTCTTACACCCAAGTTAATGGAATTAGCTACTCATTACGGAAAATAAATGACAAGAAATATAAAGAACAGAAAGTAAAGACATAAATATAAATGACGAAAAGTAAATGACTGAATGTAAAAAGCAGAAATTAAATGACAAGAAAAGTAAATAAAGTAAGAACAATGCTCATGCTGCAACAATATATATTAAAGAACACTTTTTAAAGAAATTTAAGAACTAACTTGAATATGCTAAGAGCTACATATCTAAATCCGATTAAAGAGATCCCACAAAGAGCTCTAAGAGGCAAACAATGGTTCCTAACAAGGAGACAAAAGGCGGAAAAAAAGGAAGCAAAAGAGACTATCACATCAAGTACCAAAAACAATTTTAAAAAGTCATTAAAAAACCGAGTCTGGACCGGATCGGGGAACGGGTCTTTAGTCAGGGACCGGGTACCGAGGTTTGACCAGGGACGAGATGTTAATCCCCGTACCCATCAGGGGCTATTACTAAAAACTCGCCCCGTTGCCATGCCTACCCATAAACACCCCTGGGCCAGCCTTATCCACATATGAAACACACCCATTAGGCGTAAACATGTTGTATGAAGACTTATTTACGCAAACTCGAATCATTTTGATTATTAAGATTTTGAACGAATGATTACAAAAACAAGAATACTTATCGAGTACGACTAGTGTTACCAACACATTATCGTTACCACCGGAACGTAAATTTGGATTTTGATAACGCCAACGTAACGCATTTTTCTAGAAACAGAAAACCAAACATTCCAAGTACATCTCACTTGAAAACAGAGTCCAAGAAATAAGATAACAAAACATAAGAAAAATCCAGTGTACAACTCACGTTACATGACGTACAAGTACTCACACAGCAAAAGGTAAAAACTCTTTTCCCAGATCTACAGATATGAAACCCAGACTCATCTGACCACAATGAGTTATAACTCATGCATTAGGAGTTGTACATTGTTTATGGTTTGGCTATTTTTGGTGTGGAAGAGAACCTTAGCCGATCGAGAAGGAAGGAAACAAATACCCTCCACGTCGAAGGAATATAATCAAATTCCCCATGTGTAGTTTTATATCATATTCCATATCGAAAAAGCAAAGATCTCTCTTGTACCATTAATTAAAGGGGATTCATACAATACAATCCATAATTTATACCCTGCTCTACAACATCAACATCTCATCCACACATCTCTCTACATCCGCAAAAACCAGATCACCCCTGAAACAAATAGGGTTGGAAGACTTGTAAGGGTCGTGATTTGGTCATGAATGCACACAGAACCACTGTTGTCACCGAATCCATTTGTTCCTGCAGGCGCCAGTCCGATCGGTGGGTTCACATTGATCCCAGTCCCCGTCCCTGTGCCCATCCCAGTTCCACCACCAGTCCCCGTCCCTGGAGTCCCGGTACCTGGAGTCCCCGTCCCTGGAGTCCCGGTACCTGGAGTCCCGGTACCCGGAGTCCCCGTCCCTGGAGTCCCGGTACCCGGAGTCCCCGTCCCAGGAGTCCCGGTACCCGGAGTCCCAGTCCCAGGAGTCCCGGTTCCCGGAGTCCCAGTCCCAGGAGTCCCGGTTCCAGGTGGTGCTGGAGTCCCAGTCCCAGGAGTCCCGGTTCCAGGTGGTGCTGGAGTCCCGGTTCCAGGTGGTGCTGGAGTCGAAGTGCTGCAACGTTAAGATCCAAAGAAGAATGAGAACAACATATCTTGATCGTTCCAAAAATGGAGCATGTTCTTTATAATGACTATGAATTTCCACTATCATTCAAAAAGCTATCGTCAATCCTTCAGGCCATAATTAGGAGCGACAGAAATCTATACAAGGAGTAACCACCTTACTAAAAGTAGTAATCTGTATTCGATTTTCAAGAAATCTTGTTATCGGCCATTTCAGTTATCGATATCAAGATAGATTTTCAGTATTGGTAAATCAACAAGCTCGTTTGATCACAAAAGTCATCGTTGGATTAACCAAAACCCCGTAGTTTTAGGATTAGACGAGAATTTAATCATCTTCGTCGTTATGGTTCCATTAAACCCTAATTCACAAGATTTTAACCCTAGTTACAGCGAGTTCATTCTCAAGCCACGTGAGAGACCGTCTGAAACCCTAAACCCTAAACCACCAACTAATCTAGGGTTGAAAGATATCAGACGGTTCAAACCTAAAACCAATTAATACAAGATCCTAATTCATGTGTTTATAGCTACGGCAGAAAAAAGGGTTTAGCTTTATTCACCTAATTAATTCACAACAGCTATAAAAGATCAGATCTTTACATAATTATAGAACTTAATCAAGTATGAAAATGGAAACAGACAAGATCCTAATTGGATGGCAAGAGATGATACCTAGGGTTCCCAGAAAAACAAGCAGAATTTGCACCTGTAAACCATCAAGAAACACCACAAAAAATGAGAATCAAGAAATCTTGATCTTGAGAGGGTAAGATGGTAAATTGACAATGACAGGAAACTCACCAGAAGGGGGTGTTGGGACAACACTAGCAGTGCCTGAGAAAACGCAGCTCCCATCAACTTGACCTTTCTTCTGATAATAACTATTCACAGCAAAATTGCAGTGATCTTTAACAGTATTAGGGTTGAAACAAGGCCCATTTTGAGATATCTGACTGCAATCAGCACCAGCTCCACAAGCATAATCTATGTTCTTTTGAAGCGTTGAGTCACTCAGTGCAGTGTTACATACACAATAAGCTGCATCTGTTGTTTATAAGATCAAATAGACATGAAAATCGATCAAAATTAGGGCACAAAGCAAGGAACCCAATTCAAATTCATTTGAGCGTATGAAGAAAAGCAAAGACATCTTGAAGATGCACCTGTCTTTTTAAAGAACACCCCACCACCATAAAAGATCAAAAAGGAAATCTAAGAAAAATCCAACGGACAAAAAGCGAAAAAGGAAAAAGAACAGAGACATGTTTGAGAAAAGGGAAGAACGAAATCTTGTTAAATGCGTAATAAATTGTAGTTTTTTAATTTTATTTTTGGAAGTAAATCCCAGAAATATCGATGGAAAAAACGATGAATTATTGCTCAAAGAGAAAATCCAGGAGAAACCCAATTGGGGAAAGCTAGAAATCTTGATGATGCACCCATTTTTGAAAGAAACACATAGAAATTAGACATTAAAAACGACGAAATTAAGGGTGAAAAAAAGAAATCTGAGATTGAGAAAAGGAAAGAAAGATCTTACTTGAATAAGCAGCCATAGCCAGGAGATGCAGCATGAAAATTGCAAGAAAAGCCATGATTGTAGCTAAATTGGTAAAGCAAGTGTTCGTATGTTATATGATGGAGAAAGTGTTGATGAAAGGCTTAATCCTGAGCTTACAGATACAGAGTGAAAAGCGAGAGAGAAAGAGGGAGGGACAGCGTTGCGAGAATGGAGGCTTCTAGACCAGATCGACGGTGGGCGTGGCGGCAGCGTATAGGCCGCTATTTTCATGTATTTTGATTTCTACCATATAAGTTTTCTTATTTTCTTTTTATTTTTTATTCATAAAATATAAACTTTTTATTTCAAGTTTCTCCTAATATTTTTGGATGATTTAATGACTTTTATTTCAAGATATTATTTTATATGATTTTCATAAGATATTATTTTTAATAACTTTCATTTTTAAAATATTATTTTATTTAATATTAGCATTTAATGTATGATATATATATATATATATATATATATATTATAATGTTTGTTTTATATGTATACGGTTTTTAATGTTAAATTTTTATTATGTAATTTTTGTTTCATAAATAGACTAAAAAGGTTCATATTATAAAACAAATATATGTTAATCAATATTTTAAATTTTAATTTTAAATAAAAACAAAATATATAAAATCACACATGATACATTAATAGATAAGATTATCATAGATTTTTAAAAAAATCTCTCCATTTACATATCTATACTATCTTATAAATCAGATTTATCAAAAGACATAAAAACAATTTTTAATGCACAAAGTATTATATATTTATGCACAAAGTCTTAAAAATAACTCATAATGCATTAAGTACTACTACTTTATGCATTCAGTTTTAAAATCTTTTAATCTACGATTAAAATAACATATAGTACAGGTTACCAATGCACATTATTATATTTCATTTTCATGTTCATAAGATACTTTTGACACATTTCATTCATATCTTCACCCTCTCATACCTCTATTTATTATCCTCATCTCTCAAGGTGATATTCAAACTGATATTCACAATGAGTTATTAAAAGTTCTCTCATTCAATTGCTCTAGAACTCTCGGTCTCGGTCTCAATTTCTTGATTTTTTGCTCTTGGTGTAAATAGAACACATTTGTGGAGTCGTTTAAATATGTTGGATTTTAAATATATTGGATTTTAAACTCTCATACAATTTTTTTCATCGATAGACTGTAGTTGGAACCATAACTTTTATTTATTCAAATTGTATTAATATGTAAAGAACAAGTGTAACTTATATCATCGTTAAATCTTCTTTAATAAAACCAGTGAAACTTCACCTCTCTGATCGTATTGTACGAATAGACAACCAGTATGTATTAAATTAAAACTCTAAACCTTTCTCAAAATTTTGGTATATACGTGGGTCCAAACTCTCACTCTATTTATGCAACCAATATCATACCCAATTGTGCTACGTTCTATACAATACAATATAGGTTTTTTTTTTAAAATAATATATTTTATTTAATATTAAATTTTCATTTAAATATTTGTTTAATTAATGTATAATATATTTATTAGGCGACTGGCATCCTTTTTATGTAAATGTAACAGTTTAATTTCAATACAAACTAGTTGTGTACTCGTGCAATGTTGCAGGAGCTATGAATTTTAACGATTTTGAAGTTTCATTGGTTTTATAAGATAAGATTTAACGATGATATAAGTTACACTTGGTCTTTACATATTAATACAATTTTGTTGGGTCACCTATTGATTTGGTGATGACCCACTGATCTGTTCCTCTACCTTAGCAACACTTAGTAGTTATTGGTTCTTTGTAAGTCGGTGTCTTGGTACGTACTTAAAGCCATTGGCAAAATCGAAGACTAGCCGATGTGAAGACAGAAGGTCACCGATGCGGTGTTGTGGATCAACTGTC